GCAGCCCCACATACTGGCCAAGAGACCCCAGGAAAGTTCCAGACCTAATAGACTTTGCGGTGACAAAAAACATTCCCCGCAATATAATAAGCGCCAAAGCGCTTTCGGACCTGTCGTCAGACCATTCGCCAGTGCTAATAACTCTTCTTCAAAGCATAAGAACCACAGATCACCCCCTCAGGCTGACGTCGCACAGAACCAACTGGTTAAAATATAAAAAGTATGTAAGCTCACACATCAAATTAACCCCTCACTTCAACATCGAAGCGGACATCGACTGCTCTACCGATGCTCTTGAAGAAGTATTCGGAGGCAGCCACTATCTCAACACCACAAGGCAGGGACGCGCAAACCAACCACTTCAAAACTAATCTGCAAATTGAACGGTTAGTCCTAGAAAAGAGGCGCCTGCGACGTGCCTGGCAAGCCAACAGATCGCCGTCATCAAAACAACGTCTTAAGGAAGCCACTCGCTCACTAAATCGAGCTCTAAAGCAAGAAACAGAAAATGCACAGCTGCAGTACATTACAAAACTATCGCCAACCAGTACAAAACATCCTCTGTGGAGGGCTCACCCAAATCTGAGCTCTCCAATCGAAACAGTGACTCCGATAAGAAACTCATCTGGCATCTGGGCCCGCAGCGACGAAGATAGAGCCAAAACTTTTGCGTTACATCTAAGAAACGTCTTCCAGCCGAACCCTGCCACTGGTTCATTTTTCCTACCACAAATCGAATCTGAATCTATTTCCCTACCACCATTGTTTCAGCCAAAGGAGATCGCGAAAGTCATTGGGGAACTGAAACCAAAAAAGGCCCCTGGCGGTGACCAAATAACCCCAAAAATGTTAATTGAACTTCCAAACTCTGCCATTGAGGTTATCTGTAAGCTCTTCAATGGGATTATAACTCTCGGCTACTATCCGAAAAAATGGAAAAAATCTATTATCATTATGATACCGAAGCCCGGAAAAGACCACACAATTCCGTCATCCTACAGACCAATTAGTTTATTATCGTGTCTGTCTAAGCTGTTCGAAAAATGCCTTCTAACTCGCATAACACCATATCTAGGAGCACACAATGTTATCCCTGCTCATCAATTTGGATTTCGTCAAAACCATGGAACAATCGAACAAGTTAACAGAATAACATCAGAAATACGCACAGCCTTTGAGCATCGGGAATACTGCAGCGCAATATTCCTCGATGTATCTCAAGCCTTCGATCGAGTATGGCTAGATGGCCTCATGCAAAAAATCAAAACACACTTACCTGATTACACTCACAAGCTTCTTGAGTCGTATCTATACAACAGGACCTTCGCAGTAAGGTGCAATACAACAAACTCCGACGACTACATTATCAAAGCTGGAGTCCCGCAAGGAAGCGCGCTAGGGCCTACTCTGTTCCTCCTATACACAGCGGATATTCCCACGAACGAGCAGCTAACAACATCTACGTTCGCTGAGGACACCGCAATTTTAAGTCGCTCGAGGTGCCCAGGCCGAGCCACAACACAGCTAGCAAACCACCTCCTCGTATTAGAGAGGTGGCTATCTGATTGGCGGATTAAAATAAATGAACAAAAATGTAAACACATAACGTTTACTCTCAACAGGCAAACATGCCCTCCACTATTATTGAATAATACGCAGATTCCCCAAGTCAACGATGTAACGTATCTCGGCGTCCACCTTGACAGACGACTAACCTGGAGAAGACACATCGAACGCAAGAAAGTACATCTAAAACTAAAGGCCAGCAGCTTCCACTGGATTCTTAACGCTCGTTCGCCCCTGCGTCTGGACTACAAGGTTTTGCTCTACAACTCCACTCTCAAGCCCATCTGGACATATGGCTCCCAGCTATGGGGGAACGCCAGCAGAAGCAACATAGACATTATACAGCGCGCTCAATCGAAAATCCTGCGAACTATCACTGGGGCACCATGGTATATTCGCAACCAAAACATCCACAGGGACCTAAGCATTCTTACCGTTAAAGATTAAATAGACAAACAAAAAGCGTCCTACAACGAAAAACTCTCTGTGCACCCCAATCGCCTCGCAAGAGTCTTGACTTGGGTTTCCAGCCGATCCCGTCTACAACGCAACGACCTGCCAAGCCAGCTATAACTTTCGGGCCCCTTTAGCACAACATCAGTCATATGACTGTGAGTTAGATTAATTAGTCTAAGATTTGATACACTTATTGTTAGTATCCAAAGGGAGAAGATTCAATAAATAAATAGCAAAGCATTTAAAAAAAAAAAAAAAAAAACTTACTCGCCGTCTCACCGACTCAACGGCACACTGACGCGCCAATGCAGTCAGCACATGTTTTAGCCGAGCGAACTGCACCATAATCATAATTCCCTGACCTACTTTAGAATATAGCTTATTTCACTAATCATTACACTAAGCTTCCGTGTTCCAAGTAGTATATAAGCAGGTATCAAATGAAGAATAAATCAGTTATCAACACACCTCATAACTCCGCGGTTCTACTTCATACCTCTGGGGATAGGGTTCGTAATACACTATTTCAACTAGCAGCTAACCACGTTAGCTTATCCTCAGCGCAGCTCAGCATCGCCTGTGGTCCGGCATCGCAGTAACCATCGTTACCATTGCCACGACGCGATCGTCCTGCCATCAAAGCGTCCCCGTGCCAACGACAAGTGCTTATTTCCCTCTTGTCCCGCGGTGTGACCCAGAAGTGTCTACTTTGGTTAGGCACAAACATTGGTGACCCCGACGTGATCCACCAAAGGCCGAACCTCTGACTGGTGATAAGACCCGTTAAGTTCACCACATCCACCCGCCCTGGAAACCATAGCTCATCCTGCTTCACAGCATACGCTTCGTCATCCAGCGTCAAAGGATCGTCAGCTTAATCCAGCTTCACAGGATAAGCTTCCTCTTCCAGCGTCACAGGATCGTCAGCTTTATCCAGCTTCACAGGATACGCTACTTCATCCAGCGTCACAGGATCGTCAGCTGTAACCAGCTTCACAGGGTACGCTTCTTCTTCCAGCGTCACAGGAACTCAGCTTAATCCAGCTTCACAGCTTCATCCAGCTTCACAGGATACACTTCTTCTTCCAGCGTCACAGGAACGTCAGCTTCATCCAGCTTCACAGGATACCCAGCTTCATCCAGCTTCACAGGATTCTCAGCTTAATCCAGCTTCACAGAACTCAAAGCTTCATCCAGCTTCAAAAGATACGCTTTTTCTTCCAGCGTCACAGGAACGTCAGCTTCATCCAGCTTCACAGGAATATTTGTTTCCAAGACACACAATATGCCTACTTCATTCATAGAAGAAACAAGTCACACATGAATTGATTTACACAATTAAGAATGGCAAGGATTCTGCCGACCGACGCCATCGAGATTCCGGTAAGCTAAATCAGTTAAACGATCTCTGGCAGCAGTTTTGCGACCTAGATGAAGAAGTCCAGCAAGCGGCACTACCCACTGGAAATGAGTACTCTTCACGACTAGTAGCACTTAAGGAGCTGGTAGAAAAATATCAGAATATCTTTCTGGACAACATGCCGACTGGAAGCGGGCTTCCGAAGGCCCCCAGACGAACCTCGGTCAACATCAAGATCACAACAAGAGATCAAGTCCAAGAAGATTCCGCAACTGACACGGGGATCCGACAGTTGCAGAGAAGATGCAACGAATTGGAGTCATCATTAACATTACCCTCGAACGCCCCAACTGTCACCCCAGCCCTACAAAGGCACCTGGATCTCCATTGGGCGTTACTGAGGCAAGCCCACGACGAATTGGATAGCACACCTGGGGCCGCAGCTCTGGCAGAAGCAGAGCTAGCTCAATTCCACACATTATACGAGGAATACGAAATGAACCTACTTCGAGAAAACGATGCGCCAATGAGCCTAAACTTGGCACTTCCGCCAATTAGCATTCCGGAGTTCAACGGCGAGTATCTAGACTAGCCACGGTTCCATGATCTCTTTGTGGAATTGGTACATAATAAACCATATTCGGCCAGTCAAAAACTGAATATTCTACAGAGTTCGCTTCGTGGTGAAGCGAGGATCGTTTTGACAGACACAGCCTTCTCACAGGGTGGCTATTACGACACCTGGCTGCATTTAAAGGCCAAGTACCAGAACGGACAAATACTACAATATATAGTAGCCAGATACTAAACAGCTAGTAAACAACTTGTATACATCTAGTAAATAACTTGTATACATCTATTAAACATATAGAAACCAGATACTAAACAACTTGTATACATCTACTAAATATATAGTAACCAGCTAATCAGTATTGTAATTAAAGAGTTTATTAAACTTATTCAGAATCTTAGACAATGATGCCTTACTCATACAAATAGTATACAAATAGAATAGAATTAGAAAACTAGAACTAGAAAAATAGCTGACAACAAAAACCGATATTACCAGGTCCCAACACCTGTATCATAAACTTCAATCAAAAATTAAATTGAAAGACGCTCCTATGCTAACTAACGAGACTTTCGAAATATATTACAATATTATTAAGGGATGGAACAAATGAATGCTTTAAAAATAATTCAACATCTGAGAAATATTAAATTGTGAGAACAACTTTACATCTATCTATGGGAACCAACCGAAAATATGCGTTTGGACCGAAGGTTAACAACCCATATATTTCTTACAGAGGGAGGAGTCAGAAAATTAATTATATAAAAATATATATAATATATATTTAATTATTATAATATATATTACTACACCGGGTAGTCCACACTTGAAACAGAACACCTTTAACACCTCCGATTCACACGCGTTGAATGGGTGTCCCACGGATCCACAATTAAAGCATGTAAGTGGCTGTCGTTCCCTGTTGTTCTCCCAGTGTCTAGCTAATGCCTCCACTTCCTCTTGTTCTCCAGGTAAACTCTCTTCTCCGACTGATTCTGGACAAAGCTCATCGATCCTCGGTGAGTTTCGCGGTTGCTTAGATGTCGGGTACATCGAGTCGCCAATATTCCCTCCGCATCGTGGCATTCATGTCGGAGTTGATCCATGTTAGTGATGTATATCGGGTATATAATTATCGAAATCTGATCCCTAATGTTCATTTTTATCACTTTTATCAGGTCGAAGTCGGAAAACGGCGTCTCTAGTCAAGATCTGAGCGCTAGCATGGTCTGGATGTACGCCTCGATGGTTCCTCCGGGCTTTTGCTTCCGTTCTCGCAGCTCATACTCTCGCTCGAAGTTGGATCGGTGACTCTGAAACTGCTGTTGCAGCGCGTACCTCAGGTTAGTCCACTCTTGCTTCTCCGTCGACCTCACGTACATCCAGTACCACTCCTTGCCTTGTCCTTCCACTAATACGTGAAATTCTCTTAGGACCTCCTTCCACGGCACCTGATACGACCTTTGGAGATGTTCGAGGCGGAATATAAATTCTGACAAGGGCATACTTCTGGGACTTCCATCGAAACTGAGCCCCCACTTCCGCAGCTGGCCGACTTTAAACGCAGAATCGCCTGCTGCACCGCTTGACTGACGCTGATCTGGTCCTGGATTGAAGTTGTACTGTGTCCCACCGTTTCCAGGAGGATGTTCTGGGGGCGTCGTGTGAGACCCATTCCAACTTCTTGGTTCCTGCTCCGTCGACCAGGCGGTTTGCCGATACCCTTCCGATGCGTGACGATTCATCTCCTGCTTCTCCTGCGCCCCAGATGTTGGCGGCGGGAATCCCATATAGGAACGTACCCCTGGCAGTGTGATTGGCGGAGGTGGTTGTAACATCCTCGGGTCGAATGTTGGCATCTGACTCGGTTTCGCCCGCGGCTGCTCTGCAATGCCTTGAGGTGGCGGCATCGGCGTCCCCGAAGAGGGTATTTGGCCCTGTCCAACTTGTTGTCCTTGGGCCTGGCGAACCTGCGACATCTCTGCGCCACTCCGCCATGCAGTCATTAATGTCCTTCATGAACTGCAACATATCCTGCTGCATCTGCTGTTTGAACATTTCGTATGCCGTCGACATTCCCACCTGGTACGTATGTTGTGCTTGAACCAGTGCTGCGTTAACCCCTGACTTTATTTCAGATGGCAAAGACTTTGGTATGGCCCCGGTTCCGCCTGCCGACTGAAGACCACTCGCTTCTCCTGGACTTCCGCTTCCCATTCCTTCAGGATTCTGCTCCCTTACCGACTCCATGCCTTCGGGTGCCGATATGTTCTCCAATTTCTCCTCTTGATTCGCTTGTGAGCGAGTTACTGGCGGAGTCATACCTGCTGGTACCCTATTCCGGATGAACTCCAAGCTCCTCCTCAATTTTCTATATATATCCTAATTTCTTTCTTATGTATATTTGTTTTTCATATCTCTTTCTACAAATTCTGGGGGTATGGGACGTAGCTATTTACATTACCCACTAACTTTTCTCTCCTTTCCTTCAGTTCCTAATCCGTTCGTGTCAATTTTTTATAATTATTTAAACGATTTTACTAATTTACGTGATCTTTATCTTTCAGCCTCGACTTAAAATTTGCTGGGCAACGATGTCACACTTTATTCCAGTGTACATGGACCACACCAACTCCAAGCATAGACAATAAATTTAGATAAGTTATTACAAATTTACTTTACCACAGACAACATATTAAAAAGACAGTTGTTTTCTATTTCTTTCACATACTGATGTACCTCCTAGCCTGGCTTCGCATGTCCCGCCTTTACTCGGTCATGGGTCCACTTGTAGACGGTCTCCTCTCTCTCAGCAAGGATTGTGCTCAGCAGAAAGGACATTTCGGAATATCATTCACTGTGGCTACGATGGGTTCGACCCTCTAAGCCCGCCCACGGTCCAAAAAGCTGGTTTCCGATGTCGTTTTCTGTTGCCACATTCCCTGGTGAGTATTTACATTTTATGTTATGCTTGAAATATTTTACTTTTATTGATTCCATTTCATTAATTTTTTATATTTTCATTGGGCGCCATTTGTCATGTCCTGTTTTTCGCGCAGTGTAGGTGCCGGCTAGTCATCGACCGTCCCAGGGAGGGGAACAACCAACAATGTTGTCTACGCAGCGGACACAACAAAAACAAAACGGAAATTCAAACTCGGGCGACAGCAATTTCACGACGGATTTTTCTTGAACAAATGGACTGGACAACACAGCTCTTATCGTGGTCCTGGAGTCCCTCCCAACCATGAGTGCATCCTTCAACATTTTGGACACATCTCCCAAATCTGTTTTGTGGGTCATGCTACCTCGCCTAACTCATCTCACCCCCAACACGAATTTTTATTCACAACACTTCATTATGTTTTCACATTATAATTCAGAAATTTCACTTAAATTTTAACATTTAATAATCCTACCTACGGTACCGAACTTTTACAGGGAGTACATATATATATGAATAAATAAATAAATAACAATAAACAATGTTCCAATAGTTTTGGGTTTGTGTGAATAAATAGGTTAAATAAATAAATAATTTAAATATATATAAGTATGAATAAATTAATTTGGGCGGGTTACATAATCTGAGATATCAGTCTCAATTTTTATATTTTAACTTTCGGCTTGCTGACTTGGTTTGTCGTTTGCAGTTTTCGGGAACAAGTTTTATTTTTCTGTGGCAAATATAATTTTAAGGGGCGAATAAAAACCTGTGGCCATCCGTGGATGAGTGGCCAATTTGTCGAAAATTTGGATCTCCTCCTGGTGGCTGGTCTTCGTCTCTCCTTATGTAAGTCTCTTTTCCTGATCCAGGCTTATCCCTCACGGAATATAGGGTAGGAACTTGACTTCTGCTAATATTATAATTTTTTCCAACAGAACCGTCTGCGACCAGTTACTTTTGCCCTTTAATCACCCTTGCTTGTTTTATTTTTCCAAGCCTCTCTCCGCACAAAAACCACTCAAACTTTTCGAGTTTAAACCTTGGTTCATTTTGGAGTTATCCGGTTTAAGGAACCAGTTCCATGACTTGATTAAGCTGCACGACTCCCTGAGCTCACGAGTCGTCGATAGTCGTGTATCGATTTTTCGCCTATCGTTATCAGTCTTAATGTAAACATATTTGCTAAATTCCCAATTTGTGCATAGTTTTGTCGTTTAGCACATAACAAGCACACTACGGTTGCGATGCTCGTCTCGGAACAGGAGTGGAGGATGTGCGTGTGCTGCTGGTTGTTCTGCTCTAGGTAGGCCACCGCCCACAACCCTGAGATTAAAGCTTGGTGAGTGTGATTTGCTAGCCGGGCACTATTGTTTCAGATCCTTTGCATGGAAAACTCCCAAAGGATTGCCGCGCAAGTTTTCCAAAGCGTACAAAGAGTTTCCCAACGCTTTTGTGACTCGACATTTAGTATACTTTCTGCAAAATTTAGAATTCTTATTCTTGCTGAAGTCACTTAGAACAAAGTTTCTCTTATATATTTCTTGTCCCGGTGAGTATTGAATCTCTCGGGCCTTTAAGTTGTCACTCTTCGCTGCTTTCTCGTAGGCCTGATGTATCCTTTTTTTATTTTTTCTTTGGATAGCTGTTGTCGTTCCGACCTGGGCAATTGGGCTATCTCAGCTTCATTCAGGGCATTCAACTTGCGAGCCAGCGAGTAATATTTCCCATTCGTAAATATGTGCTGTCCGAACATGGCGAAGTACGGCGAAGTTCCGGTGCTGCTATGGATGGATGACCTCAGCGACGCTTGTATGTCCGCTAAGTGTTCATCCCATCGCGTGTGGTCGTCCTGGATGTTTACTCGAATTGCTGCTAACACGGATTGGTTTACTTTCTCCGAAGGATTGGAGTGTGGTGCGTATCACCCTGTCTTCATGTGTGTAATCCCATATTCTTGTAGCATGTTCTCGAATTCCTTGGAGACAAATTGTCTTCCGTTGTCCGTTTGGACTGTTTCCGGAACTCCGAATTGTGTGAATATTCCTTCTTGTAGGAATCGGGTTACAGCTGTCGATGTGGCCTTCGGCATGGCTTTTAGCCACACAAACTTGGTCAAGTGATCCAACGCGATAAATAGCATGGTATTTCCTCGGCGAGACCGCGGATACTTTCCTAAGAAATCCAGGTACAACTTTTGAATGGGTCGATCTGTCCGTACTTCCTTCCCCATCACTGGTCGCTTTATCTGCGTTGTGTGCTTGTTCTCTTTGCAGTTTTCGCTTGCTGCTACAAAGTCTCGGACTTGAACTACCATTTTGGGCCAGTAATACATCTGCTGAAGTCTCGCTAAGGTCTTCGCCATGCCCCTATGCATTGCCATGTCGCCGCTTGCTGGATTAGAGTTGTCGTCAACGCTTCCGGAATCCACAGTTTCCATTCAAATTCCTCACTTTCCTTCCTATTGAAGTGTGTCTTCTTGAATAGAACTCTTTCTTCCACACGTAAGTCCGGATATTTATCTCTTCCTTGCTCTTCAACCAACTGCAGTCTTTCCAGGTATTCAGGACTCTCAAATTCCGTTGTTTCAAAATCGAAGAACTCTACTTCGGCGGTTTCATTCGGCCGAGATAGCATGTTGGCCACGATGTTGTTGTTTGTGCCTAACCGAAGTAGACACTTCCGGGTCACACCGCGGGACAAGGGGGTAATGAGCACTTGTCGCTGGCACGGGGACGTTTTGATGGCAGGACGATCGCGTCGCGGCAATGGTAACGATGGTTACTACGATGCCGGACCACAGGCGATGCTAGAGCTGCGCTGAGGGTGAGCTAACGTGGTTAGCTGTTAGTTGAGATAGTGTATTACGAGCCCTATTCCCAGATGTAGGAAGTAGAACCGCGGAGTTAAGAGGTGTGTTGATAACTGATTTATTCTTCATTTGGTACATGTTTATGTACTACTTGGAAGACGAAAGTTTAGTGTAATGATTAGTCCTGTGCGCTATATTCTAAAGTAGGTAGGTAGGTCAGGGAGTTTTGATTATGGTAGCAGTTTGTGTAGATGGCTCGGCAGACACTGCAGAATGTGCTGACTGCATTGGCCGGTCAGTGTGCCGTTGAGTCGGTGAGTTAGTGAGACATATAATATGCTGATCAGCCATTCTCATATGCAGTGGGTGCTACTGAGCGCCTGGTACTGTTCCCAACTTGGCTACTGCTTGATTTGTTGGGTGTGGTCATGTTGAGTACCTTTGGGTACGAACATTCTCCCCCCCATTGAGGGGTACCCTCAATTAAGTCGTGATGTCGGTCAGCCCTTGACCGAATTGTATAGGAAGCACCTAACAAATCATTGACCAAGGTGGATCATTCCTTCAACTGCGGTTTGTGATTCAGGTCCTTCACATCTTCTTGATGCTGCTTAACACTCTCCTTTGCGATAAAATTGACATTACCGTGGGGACTGAAATTGTGCTCTCGTAGAACTTGATCATTTGGCACGTCTATGGTATGTGGACATTCTGCAATAAAACTAAGATATTTCTTGGTTAGGTTTGGACATGTTGAACCAAAGTCAG